TCTTTTCTTTTCTTTCCTTTACCTCCCTTTATTGGAAAAGTTATCCTGTAACACATAATTTAAGACTACACTTCAACATGCTCGCTAAGACAGAAGACTGTCTTAGAAGTTTAGAAAGAAAGATTGTTTTGTCACAATTAAGACAAACTTTCACACAGTAGGGAAACGAGTTGTAGACAACAAGGTATTAACAAGCATAAGGAAAAGGAATGACAACTAAATTTTTCTCTTTACAGGACAAATGCAGCAGTACGAAGAACAAAAGCTATTCGTAAAGAATATCTGTATTTTAATCTATGAACTGAAAATGAACACTAATTCATTGACAGATACTGTGTGTGGTATCTTGTCTTGACACCTTCAGACTACTTTTATACCATTATATACTGTTAGTGCCTTTTCCAGACATATTCTACATGCACTGCTTCACAAAAAGCATGGAAGATTACCTCCCTGCTTTTCAAGATTCAGTTTAGCCATGATAAGAGCTGACTGGTATGGGAGGAAAGCAATTTTTTCCCTCCCCAGTCAAACCTCTTCCTTCAAAAGGAAACGTATTTAAATTCTCATTAACTTGTAGGGGAAAACAAGAAACAGTTTGTTCAGCCCAGATGAAAATTTTGAGTCACCTGAAGGGGGGTATTTGAAGAACTGGATTGTCAACAGTCACTTTAATACTGTATCCAGGAAAGCTAGCTTTTAAGTGATCAATGGAAAGGAAAGTGTCATTAAAATCCAGAGTTGCAATCTGATTTGGCATTTTTGAGTAGTGTGCACTACTTGGGTCTCCATATCCAAGAATGATGTCATGTAGCCAGTCAGGAACCACACAATCTGTGTTCATCAAATTCCTAATAGTCTCCAGAACAGCCTGTATGGTAGAAAAATAGAAAAAAATATTGGAGAAATTGACTTTTTACCACGAAAATGTGACATAACAAAAACTAAACAAGTCTATCCTAAGATGCTAGCGTGCAACAGTCTTTAATTGACAGATGTTTGGTTAGATTGAGTCAATATATAAACAGTGTATATATGCAACAAAACACCAGTGTCCAACCACATCATTCTTAAACTATCCCGCTAGTAAAGAGGCGGTAAAAAAGGACCATAATCATCAGTAAAGATCGTTCTGGAACACTCAGAGGAGAAAAAAGCTGTAGTTCAAAATAACCTATAAACAAAATAAAAGTGTCTGCTATGGCCCCAGCTTTTCATCCTGGTTTTACAGTGAGCAAGCAATTCACATTTCGTCAATAGCTACACATATTTCTGCTTAAGGTTCTTCTCCAGGATTTCCATAGGGTCATGCTGTTTACACCAAATATGCATTAAAACCTGTGCATGGTTATGGTCCTGGCACATGTTGGGTTTTTAGGTACAATCTTGGGAGTCCACTGTCCTTGCTTCTCAACCCTTTCTTTCCCCACCTAAATTCACTAATCCAACAAGACAACTGATGACTCCAGAGTCCCCACATGCAAGTTTTTCTAAAACATTCAGCTTTGTGGATACTGACTGAGCTATTGATTTCTGAAAGCAGCAGATGGCAAGCCTTGTGTCAGGCTTTTTGAAGACTACAGACACAGGACTTTTTAAAGCAAGTACTTTGATCAGGACAAAAATCTTATGATGCCTCTGCCACCCAAAAATCTGAGTCCAGTTCTTACTAGAAATCTAATCCATTCAAGAACACCATCAGGCATCTTAAGGCGTCTCCTACAACTCTATAAGTTTCATCCCTGCAGTCCGTTAGTTTCTCTTCAAAAGATTGATTTTCACCCCCAAATTAATTTCTCTACTCATCTGTGGTTATTTCAGTATTTCTCTCCTTTCCCCCTGCAATGAAACACCAATGCTCCAGACCCTAGACTTGCACAGAGGGTGTACATTCTCACTAAGAGGTAGCTGATCTTTAGTCTTTCTGTTAAAGGAATGGCGAGCCTTCAAGAACCACCTTACTTGAAACTTGGTATCATGACATCATGCACCTGCTCTACGGCAGATGAAACACAGGACATGAAAACTGCACTGATGTGTAGATCCTTCAACTTAACATGACATCAAACATGGACGCTACCAGATGGCAAACATACTGCATCAACAGCCCACACCAGAAAACAGGGCTTCTAAATGCTGATCTTGTAAAGAATAGTCAGCCAAAACAAAGTATGGAATTTTATTCTGATAGTCTACATTTACACCGAGCTCCAAAGGTTAGGATTCTCTGCTTGTGCTGTGTCATTCAAAGAATCAAAGTAATTTTTTCCTGCTTAAACAGGCATCCTCTATAAAGGTTTTGATTCCTCCCCTCTACTCAGCATGGGAAAGACCATATTTGGAGTGCTGTGTCCACTGCTGGGCTCCTCAGGACAACAGAGACACACATACTGGAATGATTCCAGCAAAGGGCCACTAAGATCACTAGGGGATTGGAATATCTGTTACATGAGATGCTGAAAAAGCTGAGACTGTTTAGACTCAAGAAGAACAGACTCAAGAAGAAAAGACTCAAGGGATGTTGGGGAATTTTATCAGTCTGTATAAAAAAAACCCCACACCCACACACAACACAACCAAAACAAGAAAACCCCACCCACAAAACAAAAACAAAGCAAAAAACAAACCAAAGGAGTAAGTAATGACAAGGGAACCAAGCTCCCCTCAGTAGTGCGCTGTGAAAGGACAAGAGGCAAATGGACATAAATTGAGATACAGGAAATTCCACTTAAACACGTGAAAGTTTTGGGTAATGGAACACTGCAGCAGGTTGTCTAGACAGGTTATGCAGTCTCCGTTGCTGGAGATACCCAGTTCCAACTATACAAAGTCACATGATCTTGACCAACTTGCTATAGCTGACATCTTTAAGCAAGGTTTGGACTACATCATCTCCAGAGGTCCCCTCCAACCTCAACCATTCTGTGAATCTGTGATTCTGTTCCTTCCCATCTCAACCATACTATGGATTCTGTGCTAGCTCTGTAAAGGTATTAACTCAAAGGCAACTTAGCATTATTAATCCTAAAACGTATGTTAAATTATATGCTCCATCCTCTCCTTATCTAAAAGGGATGCTTGACTGTCTACCAGCAGAACAGCTTCTACTACACCAAGGAAAAATGTTATAGAAAGTCTGTCCTTCTACAGGAACCGCTGAATAGTCAAATTCCTAGCTGCTGGAAGAAGTGAACCTATATGGGATAATACAACTGGCATCAAATAAAACTGTGACACAAAAAAATACTCCCAGTTATGCACCATTTTGTAATAAAGTGGATGGCTCCAGGAATCTTACCTGATGTCTACATCAACTCCAGAAATCTCTTCACCCTTTGCCTCCCCAAGGCATGTAGTGTATTTCTTCGTGTTCTTGGTGTTAACAAACATTTTATTATAAGAAATATGTCCCTAACAGTTCATGTGCTGGTTTTAGATCACAAAACCTTTGCTTCAGCTTTCCAAAAGTCACTGCTATATATGTAAAAAAAAAGAGATTAGATCTTGTAAAGAACTAACACTGCTGACCAACTGCAGTGACAGTGGTGTCACCTCCAGCAAACACACTGTATTTGCATTTCCACTGCTGCCTCTTCTGCTTAATGTACTAAGACTGCACAAGTGTTGTCTTGCCTTCTCTCCTACAAGATCAGCTTAAAACTTTTATCTTCTCAATACACTACCAGCACTCTTCACAGTGATACTGTATTTTCTTTTATCCAGCTGAAGTTCGAAAGGTTTACAGATGACATGCAATACCCTAAACCTAAACTGGTAGCGAAGGGATAAATCTGGAAATATCTTAGCTGGTCTTGACAAATGAATGTATAAGACTGAAGTAAAAACAAGCATAGTATGGTTTGCATTGTGATTTGCCTGTAAATTAGCTACAAGAATACAGTACAAACTTGAAAGCTACACTCACATCTAACAGCAATTCTGAGCAAACAAGTATTTACTGCAACACTTCCCTTCTGACTACACAACAGTGCATACAGATAGTGTTGCCACACCAACAGGCTTTGGCAGAGCGCGCGTGTACTTATTTATAATGTAAAATGAACCTGCCACACAAACATCATTTGAAAAAAGGCAAAACAGAACCATGGTTAATGTAGAGTTATAAAGGACATTCTAGGAAGTACCTCTAGTATACCAATCAACAGCTGGATGGCACCAGAATGCACTGTGTGGACCACAAGCTACTGTTTCACAACAGAGGCATCTTTCTAGATACAGAAAAGGGGACAAAAAATTTAAAAAAAATCTTCCTTCCTCCCTCTTTATCCACCTGCACAGAACTTGCTGCAGAATCCTTTAAAATGAAAATCATTTCAATGATATGATGCACAAATTTAAGGCACCAAAAGAAAGGCAGTTTTTCATTCATATTGCATTTTCATAACGGAAAACACAGAATCACCTCCCTCGACCTCCTGGCCACACTTCCTTTGATACAGCCCAGGATACGGTGGCTTTCTGGGCTGCCAGCGCACACTGCTGGCTCATGTCCAGCTTTTTGTCCACCAGTACCCCCAAGCCATCCTCTGCAGAGCTGCTCTCAATCCCTTCATCCCCCAGCCTGTATCAATACTAGAAGCTGCCCTAACCCAGGTGTAGGAACTTGCACTCAGTCTTCGTTGAACCTCACAAGGTTCACATGAGGCCTGCTTCTCAAGCTTGTCCAGGTCCCTCTTGATGGCATCCCTTCCCTGAATCTGGAGCACTGTGTTCAGTTCTGGGATCCTTGGTATGAAAAACCAACCAACCAACCAAAAACCAGAGAGGTACCCTGGAGTGAGTCTAGTGCAGGGACACAAAAGATGATTAAGGGATCATAGCATCTTTCACATGAGCAGAGGACAGTGGAGCTGGGACTGTTCAGCCTGGAAAAAAGACTGTTCAGGGGGGATCGTACCCATGTGATATGCTAGGAGGAAATGAACACAAGGGAGCCAGGCTCTTCTCAGCAGTGTCCAGTGACTGGACAGAAGATGACAGACACAAACTACCATGCATTAAATTCCATCTAGACATGTGAAACCACTTTTTTTTTACCGTGAGGACAACTCAGCACTAGAACAGAACAGGTTGCCCAGATGGAAGTTTTGGGTTCCTAATTCTTGCAGTTATCTAAAACCCAACTAGATGCAGTCCTGGACAGCCTGCTGCAGGTGACTCTGCCTCAGCAGGGGGCTTAGACTAGATTACCTCCAGAGTTGCCCTAAAATCCAAGTGATTCTATAATTATGCCAACCAATCAAAAAAAACTTACTATGGTCAACAGGGACCACTTGGCCAAAGCGAAATTTATGTTAATTCACAATTCTAGAAACTCAAATTCACATTTCAACTTTGCTGGAAAACTTTCCTCTTGCTTTAACAGAGGGTAAGGAAAGCTAAGTTATCGATAAGCTTCCTGTAAAAAAACAAAAAAAATTGCTGAGCTTATATGCAAAAAAATTGAAGTTGTGTGCATAATTTTAATCTTACTTATAGGCAATATACAGTATCATAATGCATCAGCAACAGGTTTATTTTGAAGTCTGACCAAGCTCCTTGAAGACTCTCTTGACAATGAATATCTAAGGAAGTGAAATGCCAAAGAATCATGCACTGCAACCGTGTGAAAACTGCTAGGACAGAAAAAGAAGCATCATTCAATCTACAAAGCTCCTGTTAGCGTACAGTCTCTATGAGGACTATCATAGAATCATAGAATGGTTTAGGTTGGAGGGGACCTTAAAAATCATCTAGTTCCAACCCCTCTGCCATGGGCAGGGACACCTTCCACTAGACCAGGTTGCTCAAAGCCTGGTCCAGCCTGGCCTTGAACACTTCCAGGGATGGGGCATCCACAGCTTCTCCGGGCAACCTGTTCCAGTGCCTCACCACCCTCTCTGTGAAGAATTTTTTTCCTGATACCTAATCTAAATCTCCCTGCTTTCAATTTAAAGCTGTTACCCCTTGTCAAAAGGGTGTCCCCCCCCAGCTTCCTTGTAGGCCCCCTTCAGGTACTGGAAGGCTGCAATAAGGTCTCCCGGGAGTCTTCTCTTCTCCAGGTTGAACCAGCCCAATTCTCTCAGCCTTTCATCATAGGAGAGGTGCGCCAGTCCTCTGATCATCTCCGTGGCCTCCTCTAGACTTGCTCCAACCGGTCAATAGCCTTCTTATGTTGGGGACTCCAGAGCTGAATACAGTACTGCAGGTGGAGACTCACAAGAGCAGAGTAAAGGGGAAGAATTGCGTCCTTCCACCTGCTGGCCACATTTCTCTGGATACAGCCCAGGATACGGTTGGCTTTCTGGGCTGCCAGTGCACACTGCTGGCTCATGTTCAGTTTTTCATCCACCAGTACCCTCAGGTCCTTCTCCTCTGGGAGGGCTGCTCTCAATCCATACTCTGCCCATCCTCTAGTTGTGTTTGGGATTGCCCCAACCCAGGTGAAGGACCTTGCACTTGGCCTTGTTGAACTCCATGAGGTTGGCAGTGGCCCACCACTCCAGCCTGTCAAGGTCCCTCTGGATGGCATCCCTTCCCTCCACCATGTTGAGCACACCACACAGCTTGGTGTCGTCAGCAAACCTGCTGAGGGTGCACTCAATCCCACCGTCCACATCACTGACGAAGATGTTAAACAGTACCAGTCCCAATACCGACCCGTGAGGAATGCCACTAGTCACCGGTCTCCACTCGGACATCAGGCTGTTGACCACAACTCTGAGTGAGACCAGCAAGCCAGTTTTTTATCCATAGAGCAGTCCATCCGTCAAACCCATGTCTCTCCAATTTAGAGACAAGGATGTTGTACGGTACAGTGACGAATGCTATCAAATATATCTGTGCTAAAAATCTCATCTGACACCCTCCAAAGCCCAATACTGATACAGTGATGCTCCCCAGAGCTAACAGGTGTCTCTGATTTTCACCTTTTGACTAGTTACTCCTCCTTTTCCTACAGTTCACTATACATCAGATAACAAAACTATTCCACATACTCCCTTGACCCAAAAGGCCAAACACAACTAATATGTAGGCCACCTGTTAAAAGACTGTTAATGTCTTATTATATATTCAAATGAAGTAGCAGTGTTCTGATTTTCAGTTACTTCAACACTTCATTGCAGAGGGAAATTATCACTAGCTGACATGTTCAAGCTTCCTGAAGTGATGCTACAGCACCAAAAAATTAAGAATCCTAACTACATGCACCTACAATGAACAGGTCTCAGTACTGCTAGCATATTCAGACACACTCTTAGGATAGCAGCCAATGACCAGTACCTTACCTTGAAATTGTTTTCTTTTGGCTTTCTTCTCATTATTATATTAAATGTCTCATAAACATCTTCTGCTCCATTTTGGATTGTGTTGGTCATGTCTTGTTGATACTGGTTTGGGTCCAGAAATACTCTGTAGGTTCTGCAATCCCCTCTAAGTCTTGGTTTGGGTTCAGGTCCTGCCCAGAATAAAACAGTAAGATTAGAATCTGAAGTAGTGCTAAAAACAGATTATCATTCTATTTGATCCATGATCATCCCTGAGATGAAATTTAGACACATTCTTATGATGAAACTAATTTCTACCTGGTATTAGAAACATTCTTATTTCATGTTTTCATCCCATTTCTAATAGAGTTTTGAATACCAGCTATTTTACTCCTAAACACAAAAAGTGTACTGGATTTATTTAATTAATCCTATTACATGACTTTTTACCAGAGAAAACTAGTTAACATTTCTTCGGCTTATGGAATTGGTTTGTTTTGTTCAAGTACGTAATGAATTCAATAACCATTTTTTAAAAAAGAGGTAAGTCAACAATTAGGCTGTTAAAAAAAAAAAGGAGAAGAAAAAAAAATCTTTCAAAACAAATTTTGGCATACCATACCTTCTTCAATAACACGTCCTTTCTCATCCAACATGCCCTGGATTTCACAGCCTCTGACATAGACCAGGCCAGTCTGTTCAACAAAAGGTCGTCGTCGGTCAAACTTGGTGCCATAAGGTTGCGTGGGACGTACCGTAATCAAAAAACAGACATCATGTTTACGCAGACCTGATTCCAAAAAGGAACATTCAGTAGTTAAATTTAGTGCCCTTTTCTTTTTCCATTCCTTTATATATACTATCATGAAAATTTCTTTTAAATCAAACCACATTTGTTTAGAGAATAATGTGTCCTGTATCAAAATATGCCTTTAACTGAAGAGGATACAGAACCATAGGATTCCTCTATTCCTGCACACTAATATCTGCTAGGACTTCAGATATGTAAAGGAGAAATTGACTGCTTTTTTCATGACAACAAACTTATTTATTTCAAAATTATTCTTCTCCCAATAGTTTTATTTCAGTTACACAACTAGATATTTTCAGTCTTCTCTCCAAAGTAGAATGTCATTAATCTATTATTCTCATTGCTTTCATCTTGACTAACCTTCAATTTTTACTTTTTTCCTCCCCAAGAAATTAAGGGCAGTACCTAGAACTGGGCACAAAACCCCCAACAGTTACCCTAAGTGTTTGTTTAACAGGGTAAATGGTCACTTAATCAAGTTACTTTTTTTCCATGCTACATTAGTTTATAAATCTCGATGTAACGTGGTTGAGCATTTTCCTTTTTCCTGCAGCAGTAACATATTGCTGTGGAGTCACATTTGCTTTTGAGCAATGATGATCTTGAACTCCTTTCATTCTGCAGAACTACTGCCCAAGAAGGTGGACCCTCAAAATGCATTTGTGCAATGACTTGTTCTTGCTTAAGTTTAGTATCTTAATGTTCATACCTGTTGAACTACACTGTACTTTTTAAATGCAATTTTTCCAATTCACTAATGTAGTTTTAAACACTAATCCTTTTCTCCAGTATACCTACAAATTCTCACAAAACTAAGACACTTTCAAAATCTATAGTAAGCACAAGCTGTATTTTTCATACAAGACAATTTCTCATTACTCACCAGATATTATCCAACCTAAAGCAGTTTAATCAAGAGCCTGTTATGTTAGGCAATGGTTCAGCAATTCTTCACCTCTGTTTTGATTAAGTATTACTGCTTTTGAAATCACACAGGCTGTTCTGTTATTTGAAAACCTAGGTGCACCATTATCCACTATATAGCTATCTTCAGTAAAGTCTGCTGCCATCCTCCCAGTTTTTCTGTGTTAACAGAATCTACATTCTCAGTATCTGCTTATTTACTGCATGCTCCAGCTTTAGCATTTGTGCTACGTGACCTGTAATCAGACTATGCAGCTCCAGTACATTTAGTAGGTTTCTCTAACAGAAGAGACGGGAGTGACATTTACTGATAATGCACGTACAAGTACATGCCTCTATGTCACTTGCCAACATGGTCAACTGAAGTTCAATTCCTCAAGCAAAAGAAGCATCGCCTGCGGATACTTATAAGAAACAGTATTTGGTACAGTCAGCCCTTCTAATAGCGTACAAATATACTGAAAACTACTCAAGTGCACTGGTTTGCATTAAATCACAATCTGTCCTTTCCAAGTGTACATGAGAGAGATGATACGCTCCCCACCACTCTTCCTATATGACATTATTAGCAGGTATATTAATTTACAATGCTGTCACTTTTCTACATTGCCTCTAAAGGGCAAAATTTTACAGCTACAAACTGAATGCCATCAGCCTGAAATAGTAAACATTCTGTTCCCAACGGGCATGTAAATGCTTTAATAATTTCAATTTTTTGTAGGAAAGTATAAACTCCTTAGACTTGGAATGTAACTGACTTTCAAACAGCGTATTGAGATTGGGTCATCTGTACCTCAGGTGAAAAAACCCCAAACTTTCTTACAAATAAGGTTACATCAAAGTGTATTTTGATAAGCACCTATTTTGAGCATCTTATTTCAAAGAATGTAATACCTTCCCATTCATCTTTGATGTTATCTCGGACATTCAAATTAATTGTAACATCGGCTCGTACTCGCATGGGCCAGTTTTCACCAATATTGGGCTTTGCCACCTCCACCACTGTGAAAGACACAATGGGTTGTGCCATCCTAGCCCATCCACCAAAAACGACACCACCATATTCCGATAACCTGAAAAACAACCACACCCAACAAAAAGCCCCCAAACACCAAAGTTTTGTTAATCATTATCTGATAACAGATTCAGTTCTGTTTTTGAAACTGTGAAACAATTTACCTCAGTCATCCCTTAGACAAAAGTAGAGGTCTTAATACTGCATGCTACTGAAGTAGATTCACATAATCCTGCATTTTATAACTGAAGCATAACATGGACTTATATTTAAAGAAACAAGGGCAACTTATGCTGGCATTATTTAAAACAAACCAAAATATCCCACAAACAAAACAAAAAAACCCACACACACTCACACATTCAGAGAGACAAAAAATAATAAAGATGATAAAAAGCAACTACCAAGTATAAGAGATATCACACCAAATAACCCCTTGAAATCTAAAGGGAATCATATTGTGGCAGATGGCAAATAGAAGACTACTCAGTAACAACTCTCAAACCAGAAGAGTTGGTGGTAAAGTTTCCAAATTTTATAATGCCAGCCTAGGCTTAGCACTGTCAGAAAACTAACTCATCCATCTCAACACAACAAAGGTTGGTTGTTAGCATCCAACATACTGTCTTAACGCATCAACACACCCTTACAAAATCATCCCACAGGATGACAACATCTTATGGAAAGAGTTAGTATACAACATCGCATCCGTGTAATGATTTAAAATGCATTTGTTACTATGTATTTAGTATATACACAATATCAGTTATTCATTCTCAAATGCACTTTGATTACACCTGAAGTTGAACTGACTGGTTTGCATTAGTCAAATATTACCATGGCTTCATCCTACTGACACTGTCTTCAATGTCCTGTCTGATCTCGTAGGTAGACTCTAAGCGGAAAAGATTGAAGTTCCTCAGCAGGTAGTCATGTAGAGTCAGAAACTGTAGATTCAGTTTGGGAAGTGCAAGGCAGCCTAAGGGGGTAAGGCAGGAAGGGAAGAGGTATTTGATGGATAAACAAAAAGATCGTGAATTAATATATTGGTTCACTAATTCATAAATACATACACACTTTATTCTACGACTGCCATAGTTGTTATCCTGGGAGATTCTAAGAACCAGTCCTTTTATAAATATACGTCACTAAAAAGCACAGATTTTTCAGGTTCTCTAAACGAGCCTATGCAAGATTAAAGGAATTTTCATCCTTCTGTTAGTAAAATGGTGAACTATTTAAAGACTGTACTTTTTCCCATATTCAGACTACAACAAAATTGATTTTACACAAATCAAATGCAGGGCAAAGTAATGGTACTTTGGGAACTCAACAATTAAGACAGCATTAAATAACGATGAAAAAGATTCATTGACTAATAAAAATGACATATTTCCCAACAATTCCCCAATTCCAATATTTTGTTTATTAGAAGCCATGAAAATCATTAATGTAGAAAAAGTTTTAAGCCAAGAAATCAAATTTTTAATACACAACTTTCCTCTAAAGTTTGTTAAAGGTAATAGACTTTTTTTCTTTTTAATGAGAACAAAAACCATGGGACGATTAGATCTAACTAAACAGGGAGTATTAAAACAACCAGACAGGTCCTACAGCTTACATAGCTTTTGGGGTAGTCTTAGATTCAAATTTTCCATAATAAAAATTCCTAAATGTTACTCATTTAACACTCCCAGACTGATGTTCCAGTTTGAAACCTATGCTTAAGACCTGTGAAAGCATCACACTTTTGTAACCTGCAATATTATCCTTGAAACCTTCCCAGTGTCTGTACTACATACTGGCTGTCACATCCACCGAGATACAATGGCAGTGAAGGAAGGTGATAGAACACAGTAATTTCTATTCTGGAAAAGCCTCATGGTGATAAAATACTTTAACACATTTCCCAACACCAAGTAATAAATCCTAGCCTGTAAAGCCACTTATATGCACAAAGAGCAGGGCCTGACACAACACCTCTTTAAGGCTGCACAGCATGTATCACACAGATATTCTTCTTCCCTCATTCTTTAAAACAAAAGAGAAACAATACTCCTATGTTTCTTGGGCTACACTATTCTTATTTAAGTTTTAGACCAAAAGTATTTAGCTACTTTTAAGAACAAAAAAAAATCACAAGACTACATAAACAAAATTGTCTTGTTTGAAATCAAGACTGGAGAACACACGGAGATCAAAAATAGAAAGTGTAAACTGAAACTAAGAGAAGCAAAATAGAAAAATGCTTGCAAGCAGTCTGACAGCAACAGAAGTGTTTCACAACAGTGCTACCAAGACATGATAACAATAGCAAAAGAGTTCACCACAGAAGGAGGAAATGTTTACACTAGCAACCACTAACTTATCAAAATTTCACCACTAATATAATCTCTTTAATTAATTATTAAAAAGTCACAAAACAGCACAGAGAAAGGTGTGATGAACTGCTTGCTGTTTCTTTCTCCCCACCCCCCCCAGTAACACATATGCTGTGGTTAATGTATCAGGCTAATAGAACACAAAATACACCCAGAGTGCATGAACAAGTACAGTACCGCAAAGTCAGCTTCCCAATACAGTCTGAGTGACAGTAAAGCTACCCTGACTTGCATTTAAGAACCTGAACGTTCCAAAGCATTACAACAACCTATGAGGTGACCTATTACTCAGAAGAATCTGAATCAGCTTCTAAATACATGCATCATACTAAGATACTGTAAAACACTGAAGTATTGCATCTAAGTTCCTAAGACAGAATGAACACAGACATCAGAACTGCCTTTTTTTTTTCTTTGCAGGATTTAGTGCCCTGTTCAGCATTTACTGAACTACTAATCATACCTTCCCCAGAATAATATTCAGTTGGTACAATATTTTCATCCCAAATGATCTTCTCTGTGGGATAAAGAGGCATCTGGTTGAGTTGCTGAATTTGAGATATTCGTCGCTCATGACGGGAAACCTAAAGAAAGAATGCATTTTAAACTTCTGCAAGTCAAAAAGTGACAATAAAGCTGGTTTCAAAACATGACATTAATCTATAGGACTTCTGGTGGTCACTTGCCATTTTCTTTTTTTTTTTTTTTTAATAAGTTTTGGTTTCTTTTACGTATTATAACTAAATGCACACAGTGACATCAGAAGATGAATAAACACATAGCCCAACTCTTGGTCATAGTGCTAGAGTCAAACAATCATTTGGCTACTCAGCAAATCAAAAATGGCACAACAGAACTTAAAACATTCAGTCAAGGCTTAGCAGAGAATCAACTTCCAATGAACTTTATTTTGCTTACCATTAAACATATGGCCAATAGCTAACTAACACTGCTCATTCAGCAA